AGCTGAATTTTTGCTAAGAGTCTTTTATTAGGTCATCCCCAGGATGATAACTGATAGTATTCATATTGCTATAATTCTACATATTAGTATTATTATAATATTAATATTATTATACACTAATATACAGAATTATATGGAACTATATATTGCTATAATTCTATATATTTGTATTCTATATAATGGTATTTAGACTATTATGGTGATGTTGAGATTGGGACATTCAACATAATTGAATATTCCAGGTAAAAATAGTAAAGGATTGTTGCTACTAAATTATACACCAAGCACCTTATTTACATAATACCTTTGAATCTAATCCTCTTAATCAGCCCCATTGTTTAGTAGGTGAATAAACTGAAGCTGCATCATGTTTTGTCACATATTTGGTGGCTCACAGCTGGGTGAGGACTTGGGTTTGGACCTGGCTTTTTCTGACTCTGGGATACATGTTCTTCGTCACCTTATTGGACCAGCTATCCCTTTATATGGCTTTAGAGTACCTCTTGGCTAGACATCACATCTTTTGCTTTTAAAAGCATATTCAGAAAACCATTTAAGCTTTTCATGGAAATAATGAGCTATTATTAAGAATTTCAAGTTGCTTAAAAATTAAAAAGTGAATGAATACTAAAGAACTGTGAGATTTTGTAAGGAAGTTGCTCTCTACCTCAATTGATCCCAAGTTAGATATTTTTAGTATGCATTTTTTAAATTTATATTTTTAGTAGGTTTTCTGCCTTCTGTCTCACCTTTTCTTTTCACTTCTAGTTTGGGGAAATAAATCACTGTGTATGTTATGATTAGGTGCAAAGTAAGAGCTAATGGATTCCAAGTGGGGACAATTGAGCTCAAACATATTGAGCTCTAGGACAGCCATGTCATCCACTCAAGCTTGTTTCCTCTTGGGTCCCCAGCTGCATTTCAGATCACTGCTTGCGGGGCAAGCAACTTTGGGCTAAGGATATTTTACCGTAATTGCTATGACTGCTGCCATTTCAACTGCAAGAACTTCTGTTATATCTTGTCAAATATTCAGATGCTGCCTAGTATCTTTTACAGGAATATTGGTTTGCAAAAACCAAAAAGGCTCTGTTACATGGTAAGTTCATTGATAGCATATTCCATTGCAAGTATACCTAAAATGGTCATGGGACTCCATGGTTTTATGATAAATTATGTTAACTTATTATTGGTATTATACAATTATTGATTCACTGATTATTGATTATCAAATATTGATTATCAAATATTAATTGAACACCTACTCAGTTCCAGGTAGTACTCTAGGGTGGACAAAACATTGTAATGGACAAAACAAAGGCCTTGCCTTCATGGAGCTTATATCCTATTAGGGTTTTAAAATTTGGATTGCAATTTTAAAATGCCTACAAAATTTAATCACGCTCATCCTCATGTGACCTTCACAAAACTTTGAGAAGTAGACAGGGTGGGTACTGATCTTACATTTCACAGATGAAGAGACTTACTTGGATTTTCCTCCTTCCATCTGGTAGAACCCAGGAAGGACTGAACGGTTCTACCAGATGGGAAGAGGAAAATCCAAGTAAAATCCAAGACTGACGGCAGGTTGTGAGGAGCATGGTGGAGCAGCAGGCTGCCCTGGCCACCCACTCCTTGGCATTCAGCTTCCATATCACCTCCCCATTGAGAACACTGACAAGGAGTCTTCGTAGTAGGCAGACAGGGCAGAGGTCCCTTCCTGCAGAAAGCCTCCAGGGCTGGAGATAGAGATGAGTGGAGAGTCTAAGGGAATCCCAGGGAACCCCCATAGAAACTGAGATTCACCACCTGCATGGGCCAGCAGCCCCTGCATCCCTGCTTTCCACCCTTCCTAGGGCACTTTACATTTTCTACTGTGAATGTTTCAAAATATTCATATGTGAAAACTAATATTTTACTTTTATGGCTCCTCATGTTCTCAACTCTCAAATGGGAGCAACTCTGTTACCTGCCCCAGAAGCTCCAAGGATTGAAAAAGCTGCTGTGAGAAGGAGCGACAGAGGGCACAGTGTGTGCTTGTCTGCCTGATAGTGGGTCAGCAGCAGGGCAGGCTCCATGGCTGGGCAGGGCCAGGCAGAGGTGGGCTGGCACCTCAGTTCTGTCTTAACGGCTCTGAATTTAAGTATCTTCAAAAATGGATGAGGACATCTACGAACACCTGCTACACAGGGTTATAGTAAGGATTAAATTAACACCAAGCATGTATGGTGGCCCTTCATGTCCATGGATTCTGCATTCGTAGATTCAACCAACTTGAAAATCAAAAATATTTGAAAATAATGGACAGCTGCATCTGTACTAAACAGATACAGATTTTTTCTTGTAATTGTTCCCTGAATAATATAGTATAACAGCTATTTACACAACATTTACATTGTATTAGCTATTCTAAGTAACTTAGAAATGAATTACGCAGGAGGAGGTGCATAGGTTATACGCAAACACTACTCCATTTTATATCAGAGACTTAAGCATCTACAGATTTTGGTACTTACAGGGGTCCTGGAACCAATCAATCCCCAACATATATCAAAGGACAACCGTATTCCCCAGCATGGGTTCCAGCACGTAGCAAGTGCTCCAGAAATGAAGGCTGAAGTTGGAGATGTACAGATCTCAGAACTTTGGTTTCATCCACAGACCATGTGGAGTAAAGATAAGATAAATTAGCTTAGCACATTAGACACCTGAAAGGGAAGTCATATTCATTATTTAATTAGTTTATTATAGTTTTTAATGATAAAGGATATTCATTCTTCATGTTCTTCATCCAGCCAACCACAAATGTTTCCGGGAACATTCAATTATGTGTTATTACAAAAGCACTACCCGAGGTTTTTCATTCAGTCATCCAGAGAAAGAAGGTGAAGTTGGAAAAAAAAAACTGACTGCCAAATGGTTGGTGACATCCACAAGGACACAGTCTGGCTGGTCACAGAGCTGTCTCATTACCTGGACTGGGGTCTATGGAACCATCACTTCACTGCCTCCCTTTGACTGCCACCTGCCACCTGGGTTAATCTGGATTCCCTCAGATGCAAAAACAAAAACAAAATGAGAATTCATCAAATCCATAGTGCTCTCTTGTATAGGTGTTATAAAGGTGGTCGGCCCAGGCGCCCTGGTAGTGGATGTTGTAATGAGAGCCGCAGCGTGCTAGTCTGTCCTTGCTAACCAGGGAGCTGGTGACAATTCACTACCCATGGGAGCCTTTAAACACAGCTTATGGAGACTTTGCAACTTAGTCCCTAAAAATGAACATTCAGGAGAGACATCTGGCCACCTGAGCAGAAAGCAGAAAAGATGAATTTTATGTTTGTTCAAAACAATCTTGAATTTGCCTTTGGGTCTCAAAATCAGGGTTAGCTAACAATATTCCTATTTAAAGAGCAACCTTCAAGAGACGGGCTCTCAGGTTAGCACTGGGAGGATGCAGGGTTGAGACAGCCAGACTGAAAGTCTGTATTATTGCAAACTGCCTCAAAAGCTTATTTTTTTCCAGCTATCTTTTGGATCTTATTGGTTCTAATTTGCTTAAAGGGGCTTCCCTTTGGGAGGAAACACCCAATACCATCTGCTTCATTGTTTTGTGGGAAAATATATGCAGTTAAAAGGGGAAAACAGTATTTGCCTAGTCTGAAGCTTTTGGTGCTCTCCCACAACTATTTGACCTGAATATATTAAATATTGTAATGTTTTGTTACATGTCCCAGGGCAAAAAAAAAAATCCAGGCTATCACTTATTAGCTTTCTCTTCCTGGATCCTTCCACAGTTGATTCGATGGCGCAAAAGATAGTGGGGAAATCCAAAGGTAAAGGTTAAACTCTGTTTTATTATGTTTACAGGATTTAAAGGGTAAGTCAGGAAGTGCTTACATAACATCAAGTGAAAGTGGTGGATTAGTAACCAGAGCGAGACTTAAAAGCAGCCTTAATCCTCCGAATCTCCAGGGGTGAAAGGTCAACCTCTAACACCAGGTTGTGTAAAGAATGGAGAAGGCACAAGCTTCTGTTTCATCATGGCCCTGCTAATCCACTGAGGAAATGAGCAGCCGGGGGCTTGGGGAGAGGTAAACGCCTCCTTCAAGAAAAGCCACCTGTGAATTCAGCCAAGGAGGACGTAATTAAAGTCAGAAGGGCCCAGTGCAGGGGGCAGGCAGGCAGGCGGACACAGGCCCTGCTGCAGTGTTTGACGGCAGGGAGGGGGCTTCTACCACGTCTGAAGAGTCAACTGTGTCAGTCCCCCAGCCAAACCTGCACAAGGACCATGACTTTTTCCCAACAGGCTCTTGTCATTCTGAAAAGTAGGCTGGCAGACCAATGACAATCACATATACTCAGACACACACACACACACACACACACACACACACACACAGCCTCATCAGTAATTCTGGAAGAGGTTGGTTGACATACCAAGAGAGTCAGCTGCCAGGCACAGGGACCCAAAGAAATATTAATAAATCAGGCTTGTCTTGCTTGCTGTCTTGCTGGATTGTGCTCTCTTGCTCATCAAAAATGGAAAAAAAAATTCTTACTCATGAATATAAGATTTAAATAGATCCTCTAAAATTATATTCAGTCTTATCCCCTAGGATTTTAAATACTTTTGGAAGTAATTGCCTGTAATATATTGAAGGGTGTTTATCTTGCTATCTGAGCTGCTGACTGTCCATCTCCATATCCATCTCACTGTCTACCTGCTTATTGATTGGATGTGTGTTTAAGACACACATCTTAAGACACAAAAATAAACCTGAGGGCAAGGGTGACATCATATGGATGTGAGCACTTAAAAAAAAAAAAAAAGAAAGAAACCTAATTCTAAGGACAGCAAAATCCATGATGTGGACACCTTTCTCCTCTGGCTCTCTTGGCAGCCATTTCCCGCCATGAAAAAGTAGAATCAACTTTTGAATCTTCAGCCCCTGGCTTTGCCCAAGAAAGCATCTTTCCCTAAATTTCCCATAAAACCACAGTGCGTTATATGAAACATTTAAAGTCCACAACTTAGTAAACATCTTTCTTCCATGCGTGGACAAATCGGAACTTTGGATACAATCAATTTACAAAAGAAAGTTTGAACACATTTCAGCACAAAGCTAAAAAAGCTTTTAGAGTAGCCGTTCCATATTTATTCTGAGCTGGCCTTTATTAAATCACTGGTGAAAAACACAGAGATTCGTCTCAGCTGTAGTTTCATCATCTTAAAACAGCAGAGGCATTTATCTTATGAAATTGCAGAAGTCGAGCCCCGTGCAGACTGATGGCTCCAAGGTGCTTTTGGCATTAGTATCTGATTGTCTCGCCTAAGGTGTTTGTGACGCACACGGCTGTTAATAGCTTATGCTGTTCATTTTTTACAGAATTTATGGTTTAAGCATTATGCTTAGAATATCTAAAATATTTCTTTCCTTCTTTTAAAAAATGGTATCAAACTATTTCATGTGAAATGTGAAAAGTGCTTAGTTGCATAGATTTGATTCTTTGCCACCCATTCCTCCCCTTCAGAGCTCTCAGCTCTTTCCCTGGTGTTTCAGAGCCTGATTCATTCCCACCAACTATTTTCTTCATTAAGTCAAAACCAATAACCGAGCTGCATTTCAAAAATCAGGGTGATAATTAAGTATTTGCTTCTCTTGGGATATGGGTTTTAAAAAATAGATGATATACAGGATTCAGGTGCACACCTTAAAGGGGGTCTAAGCCTGCTTGATACTGAAGGTGGGACTGAGGATCGCAGCCTTATTCTGTATCAGAGCTCCAGAAACAACTGCCTCATGACATTGACTTCGCTCTACCAAGGGTCCAATTTTGTCTCTTGATACAATCATCTGGTATAGTCAAATTAGATGCCGAAATGGCTCCCCTACATAGCAGGCAATGCCATTCACCCCTACTACAGCATGACTTCAGTGGGGGAAAGAAGGAGGGACAGGTGTCTTTAAAAACTGAAGTTGAAATCAAAGCGAACTTTAAACTGAAAATTCCACTCACAAGGAAACTGATTAGGAAAGGAACTGGTTCTGGTAAACGGGTACAGGGTCAACAGTCAAGTCACAGTGACTTACTTAAAAAGAAACTAAGTTTTGACCCCCAATCTTAAAGAGAATGAGGGACTTCAAAAGGAAGTTGTGCCTAGTGTGTTTATGGGATGGAAGTCATGGGAGATGTGAGGACACTGCAGCACACCAGCCGGGATACCCAGTTGACCTATGGCAGGACACCAGGGCACAGGGAATGTGAAGGAGAGACTGCACCCAACTCGAAATCTTTCAAACCTCTTTCCTCAACTGTGCATTCGGAGTCTGGTGCTGGGACAAAGGCAAGCCCTATGGAAGCGAATTTGCATATTTTCATTTTGCCTAAATGCAATGAAATAAATTGAAAGACAAAATGGCTTTATCTCACTAAATCCTCCATTTGAGGCAAACTTCAGCAAAGCACAAGCAGAAGACAACATCTTAGACCAAGAGTCTCAATATCCACGTTTTTGAGACTGTCCCAAACGCCAACATGCTAGACAGAATTTATAACAATCCAAGAAAGCAGGATCCAGTAGAATACCTTATCTCATAGATGAACTGGGCGTTTTGCTCCAAGTAATACAGAGAAGCCCCTTTTCCAGGGCTGAAGCTCACACATAACTTCTCTCTCTCTCATGAAGGAGAAAAACGAAAAATTTGGACACAGCTCTGTGGTCCTGAATAGGTCCACACGTAAGGGTGTGGGGAAAGGGGTCTCCAGCTCAAGTTCTAGTTCTGCCCCTCCTTCATCTTGTGAGTCCCTGAGAAATGGGGGTGATAACGACCTCTCTGCAGGGTTGCTACAAGGGATTTAAAGGGATAATGTGTGCAAAACACTTAACTCTGCATCTAACACAAAGTAAACCCTCCATAATGACAGCTGTTATTATCAATTAGCCTGGGTCATTTCCTTTGTAAGATTCAGCGTTACTGACCCAGCAGAAATCTCTAAGCCAGAGTCCTCTGTTCAGGGGTGAGTTGTGCCACCCATGCACAGAGGCCAACCACATATCACGGACCTAAGTCACCCTTTCAGTCTCCCCTCAAATGTCCCTCTAAGGTGATGGAGTAGTCCTTGGTACCTCCACTTAGAGCAGTCCCTGCAGCCTCTCGGCCCTTTCAGTCTTTGCCTTGTGGCTCTGAGTGGAGGCATGAAGCAGACGGATAAAGAGTGGGAAAGGGTGGGGCTAACTCTGAGACTTTAGAATGGGGAGGGGAAGAGCTGACAACTTTCCGGAAATTTAGCAAGCAATCCGCGTGCTAGCATAATGTCCAAATTTTAGGAAAAGAGTTTAGAACAGGAAATGCAAATACAGCTCTCATCTTCACAAAGCAAATTTCTTTTACAACAACAAATTCTCTGGAACTCTCTTACATGTCCAGGAAATAAGAGCATACCCTTGTATCCTTTTAAATAAGGACATAAGCTGCATAGAGGTTTGGCTTTACACCGGATGCTGAAAGACTATCAGTTCTATATAACAAATATCCAGTTTCTCCAGGAAAAAAAGCCCAAATAGTCTTTAAGTTATACTACGTTTTAACACAGGAAGTAAACTGCTTTTCTATAGTATTTGTGGCCATGACTCCATCCTCCCTGTATCAGGCCAGTTTCTTTTCATTTGCAGAGAGATTCAGGAGGACACTTAAATGTTTTCAAAGCAAACAACTCTAATTTCAAAGCTTTGCTTTCAAAATGCTGGCCTAATGAAGTTCAAAACCTAGAGAAAGAGTGAGTGATTTGCATTCTTGTACAGATTCCAACACATGACCAGCAGTTATTCTGGCATCCACATGTTGGCATTGGTGGTCAGTGCTAAAAGCCTTTCACTGCCTCATTCTCCTGCTCTGAAAGACATTCATCTGAGCTAATCAAATAAGAAGAAGAATGAACACTTTCTATGCCCCAGGCACTGTTCTAAACACTTCGCATGTATGGACTCATTCAATCTCCCATAACCCTCTGGGATAGGTACCACCCTGAGTTGGTTCCCGAGCAGCTTTCTTCATGCACTGGAGGAGAAATAGTGCTTGCACCCTCCAAGCCTGGGGCTCCAAGCCACAGCACCATTCTAGTCCCAGCTCTGCTACTAATAGCAGGTGATTCTGGAAGGCTGTTTGAGCTCCTTAGCTTTAATTTCTTCATCAATAATTAAAAACCAGAAAACATATGGCTTCCATTGTCCTTTGTAATTCTGGTTATGATTTTCATAAAACCCCAAAGCCAAGAGCCTTAAAATAAGCCAAGTGTTCATTTCTCCAGTGAAGTTGTGGCTTGGACTTCAGGCTTGGGTATCTTCTCTACTGGAGAAGTATAGCTCCAGTGATTTGGGACAGTGGATGGGTGGGGCCTTGCAAACTGGTCTGCTGAGAAAGAAAGCAAAGAATAAAAATAGAAAGCTTGGAAAAATCTGCTTGGCAAATCTGATTTTTATCACAGATGACTCCAGTTACTTCAAGGAGTGTCAAGAGAATTTTAAAGTAAAAAAATTAATTCATTCACATGTTAAAATGTTGGTGGTGGTGAGAGGAGTGGCTCACAGAACTGCCAGTTACAGGGGTCTGGAACAAAAGAGAGGGTCCTTGAAAAAGTAGATAGTGTCACAGCCAGGAGTACAAACATTTCTGCCTTTAAACTGCCATCTACCTTTGCACCTAGTAAATTTATGGAGATACGCATCAATCCATACAGGCACATGGCTCATGCCTGTAATCTCAGGATTTTGAGAAGCCAAGGTGGGTGGATTCCTGGAGATCATGAGTTCAAGATCAGCCTGGCCAACATGGTGAAACTCTGTCTCTACTAAAAATACAAAATTAGCTGGACATGGTGGTGTGCGCCTGTAATCCCAGATACTTGTGAGGCTGAGGCAAGAGAATCGCTTGAACCTGGGAGATGGAGGTTGCAGTGACCCAAGATTGCGCCACTGCACTCCAGCTTAGGCAAAAAGAGTGAAACTCCAGCTCAGAAACAAAAATGAAAACAACGGCAACAAAAAAACAAAAACATCAATCCACCGTAGACCCCAGTTCTGTAATTCTGAGCACAAACCCTTTGAGATAACAAGGTTTTGCAGCCAGAATTCTAGTTCAGTCCCAGGGCAGGTGTTAAAACTTGGGAAATAAGGTACAGAACTGGAAACTGGGTAGTTCTGTAGGTGGTTACAGCAGGGTGGTAACTGGGGAGGAAACGTATAAACTTTGGAGTCAGGCAAAATCCCACTTTCTCACTCACTAGTCTCACCTGCTCTTCTTAGGCAAGCTGCTTCCTATCTTTTAGCATTGGTGCTTTTAATTTGAGAGAGTTAGTGCCTACATTATCAGGTTTTCATATTAATCAAATGTGAGCACATGTGTGCAAAGTGTTTAATGGAAAAATTGAATATTTGATTATTAGTTTTTATGCCCTCCCCCTTTAAAGAAAAAATAAAAAGAGAATTTTAAATTTTTAAAAAGCACAGCCAAACCCCTCCAGCTGGAGAATACTCCTGGGTTGACTGATACAGGTCTCTGTAAACAAACATCAAAAAAGCATTAAAATATCTGTGCAAAGTGTTTGGCACAAATAGTAGACTCTTCCATTTAGTTTTTGCCTTCTGTCTCTTAAAAAATAGCATATTTCACATTTTGTAAATGTAGAGCAAGGATACTAAAGGCAGGAACTGTCCCTTGGGTGAGTAACATAGGTCTAAAGAGTGGGAAATGAGAGGCTGGGGACAGTGGGGACCCAAAGCACAGAAAGTCAGAACACCATGGTTCTCTCTGAGATGGAACTAAAAGGTCAATATCTTACCCTCCTTTATCAAAGTAGTATCTGCATTGTTGTTTTATTTTTTAAATGATAATTTTTTGTCTCTTATTTGTGCTCTTTCAACATGTTCACCTAAACTATTTTTAAAACAGGGTTGTTATGTTTATAATGGCCTAGAAAGAACTCATATCCAAGAAGCATTATCACTCCCAAAGTATGTCATTCTCTCCTGTACCACACCCTAATAGTGAAGACAATAATTTACTCATAAAAACTAGTAGTTGGCATTTGTATGGAATTTATTCAGCTATTGCATGAGAATTAAAATAAAATTATCTTCTCACCAAAAGAGTTAGTAATTACCCCAGGCTAAGGCTGAGGTAGAGTTCAGAAGAACATGAGTTCTGTGGATCTTTATTTCTCTATAAAATTAGCAACTTCCTTGCACATTAAATGAATTTTACATACAACCTTAAATACCTATTTTCAAAACACAACCCTGAAATGCCCAGCCAGGTCTAAAAATAGAATTTTTCTTTCAAAAATCAGCCCATTTTGACCACTTTTGGCATTTGTCATTGTCAGAAACACTTTGCCAAAGTCCTGATTGCCTCTTCCCAGCCGGCAAAATGCTCACGTTATGTTGTCTTCTGCGGCGGCAGCCCCTGGGGCTGGACAGCTCATGCGGCATTCAGAGAAGAGACAGGAGGAGGGAGAGGGAGGAAAAGGGATGTTGGGCGGGGCAGAGCCTGGGAGATGAGAGTGAGAGAGCAAGAGAGAATGGAAAGGAAGGGACTCGTACATGTCTCTGTTGTCTCATTTCTCTCCCAAATCCTCAGTTCCTTTCACAGGGAGGGTGTGTTTTTGGTAGACTATCCTGGACTCTCTCAGTTCTATAACACACCTTTGAACTTGTGAGTACACACTGAGAGTCAAAAATCTCTATTCTATTCCCCATCAATCTAGCCACCTTCATCTCCCTTCATGCTAACTATATCTCCTTCCTCTGTGTGTGTGTGTGTTTCAGATGGATATAAACATATGTGATAAGTACAGACTCATGTTAAGAGTATTTGCAGAGATTCACACAAACGCACCCAAAATATATTGTATACAATACATATTCAGTATCTTCTAAATTATTAAAATCACAGGAAAGAGAGAGGATTACCAATTATGGATAATCCGGTAGGTTTCATAAATTATTTCTAGGAAATACTTTAATCAATGTAAGTATGTTATACAATTTACAATTTCATTCTTTTTCCATGATAAAAGTTGCTCATGGTCATTAGAAATTTTGAAAAATAGAGCAAAATAGAGGAGAAAAAAATTATTCATAAATCTAGGATTTGGAGCAAGCTACTAGTAACGTCTAGTGTGCTCCTAGTCTTTATATATAGCTTTAGTAGTTACAATGTCAGGGTTTATGAAATTTTCTATCATTGTCTTTTTCACCAAAAATAAAACAAAAACATTCTTCCTTTGTATAAAGACTTTTGTAAACCTAATTTTAAATGACTATAAATAATCACATTAAATGAAGTATCACAATTGACCCAACCATTTTCCTACTGTTGTACATATAATTTCTTCCCAATAGTTTGACATCGAAGTTTTCCTACCCAACACCCCACACCATTTCTCTCATCCTCCTCAGGAAGCCTTTGCAAATTTCATCCATTTAACAAATGTCATTATCAGAGCAGCCACCATAATACCTGGCTAAACAAGGGACACACAGGAATAGGTAAAAAGATAACGATCCCTACAGCCATAGGAGCTGCCTCCTGCCTGACCTCATTTTCAAACTTCCCATGGGTGGCCTCAATGCTTCTGGAATCTCTGTGCTTTGCTGATAAACCCCGTGCTGTGCCCTCTCACTTAGGCTCAACCACAATGCTAGCCCCGGGGGCGAGACAGCATTTCAACATGTTCCTTCTGATACCCTCTAGAGCATGTAGCACAAGGCTTTGTGGACTGTGAGCATGCAGTGCGCAGCAAATGCGGAAAGAGCCTCATTCCTGTTATATGGATCAGCCTCCCTAATTGTGTGATCTCTAGCTTCGCACTTGTTCACTTCATTCCATATTTCCTGAGCATCTATTATGCTCCAGGCCGTGTGCCAGACACCACGGAGAGAACAAAATGTGATTTAATAACATTCCTGCTCTAATCCCTCATCTAGGAGGAAGTAAAAACTTGGTCCAATGGAACTGTAATAGGAGAAAGCCTTTGTCCAGCAATAATGATTATAACAGGCACGACTTATTAGGTGCTAATTGTGTTCTGTGAAAGTTAAAGAACTTTACATAGCTTGCATACTTTACACAGTTCCTACAGGGTGGATGTTATTATCCCCTTTTCTAGGTGGCAAACCTGAGACCCAGGGCTCTCAGAAACAGCCCACACAAAGCCTGGGGAAAACAAAGGGAAGAAACATGACTCACACTGGAGGGAAGTGATGAGATTTCACAGGGTAAATTCTACTATACAGGTGGGGGCTCAGAGGCTCCCAAGTTTCTGGAAACCTGGAAATAGAAGGAAAAGGCATCCCAGCTAGAGGGAAGGGATGCCTCCTTTTTCTATCACCAGGTTTCCAGAAATTGGGAAGCCCTCAAGTTGGAAAAGCCTTTGAGTGAGAGCAAAGCCAGTGAGTCAGAAACCTCATGGGTATTTCAGAAATGGTGACCACACGTGGCATGAACTAACATGTCTGTAAATAATACTCAAAGGTAGTTTGGTGGGACTGAGAGGCAATGGCCAGGGATGTTTGGGCATCTACAGTATTCCAGAGACTTTACCTGTGTTATCTCATTTTGGCCCCTTCAGCACCATGAGGCTGGTATTACTACCTCCATTTAAAGGATAAAGAAACTGAGGCTGTGTGTAAGTGGCCAACTCTGAATACAAACGCAGTCTTACCTGGCAGCTCTGCAGGGTGGCTAAGAGCACAGGCCTGCCGCCTTGGCCTCCCAAAGTGCTGGGATTACAGGCGTGAATGACAACCTGGCCAACATAGTGAAACCCTGTCTCTACTAAAACTACAAAAAAATTAGCCCGGCATGGTGATGGGCTTCTGTAATCCTAGCTACTCGGAAGGCTTAGGCAGTAGAATCACTTGAACCTGGGAGGCAGCGGTTGCAGTGAGCTAAGATCCCACCACTGCACTCTAGCCCAGGCAACAGTGCAAGACTCAAAAAAAAAAAAAAAAAAAAAAAAAAGAAAGAAAGAAAGAAAAGAAAAGCAAAAGAACACAGGCCTAAGCACTTAACTTCCTTCTGTCTCAGTCTCCTCATCTGTGAAATGGCCATGCAGTGGCACCTTCCACATAGGGAAGTTGTAAAGACTAAACAAATAAATACATTGAAGTGCATGGAGTGGACGAAGTGCTCAATATGTAGTAGTGGTTGTGACGACCCTTCTTCTGCTCTCTGGATGTCTGTCACCTGGCTCTCTGCCATCACGGCTTACATCCATGACTACACTAGGGCCATTTCTTCCCTTCCCTGTCTGCTCACGACTTTCACTAATGGGGCAAGGCTCTTGGAATTTGCATCCACTCTCTTGTCTGCTCTATTAACATATTCTTGGTTGTACCCAATATCTGGATTTTTTTTCTCCTTTCAACTCTTTTTATCTCTTGGAGAGCAGTAGAAAGTCAATTTTTTTATATACTTCATAACATACTACCATACCAGCCCAGTATTCTAGGGGTACCAGCACGAATTTTCATGCTTATTGAATAACATCTCTTTCCCAAGGTCTTTGATGCAGAAGGGACCCAGTGAATAGATGGTTCATCCTCCATATATGTGTATTCTGCACTCATGGATTCAACCACAATTATGTGTGGAAATAAAGCATCTTTGCTCAACATGTACAGACCTTTTTTCTTGTCATTATTCCCTAAACGATAGAGTATAATGCTTACTTACATAGCAGTTACATTGTATTTGGTACTATAGGTAATCTAGAGATGATTTAAAGTATATTGGAAGCTGTGTGTAGGTTGTATGCAAATGCTATACCATTTTATAGAAAAGATTTGAGCATCTGAGGATTTTGGCATTCACAATCACCCATGGATGCCACCCTGCCAAAAAAAGACCATACTGCATGAGGGGGGTGAAAATCTCTTTCATCATTTTTCAAATTTGGTCTCAAGTCTTAAGACAGCCCATAGGTGGACTAGCAGGTGGGCTGCTTTGCAGGAAGCTGGCTGAGGAGCGGGGTGTCCTAGGCCGTGCTAAGATGATAAGAGGAAGTCTGAGTCAGATCTTTCAGAAAGGATGGTGCCGACATCAGGGCTCTTCTCAAAGGCCAAAAGAGAGATGGGTTATGTGGGCAGGATGGCTGGCACCAGGTGGCCGATATCCAGGCTGGCAGAAGTGGAAACAACTCCACTAGAGATAAATCACATATCACCAAAGCAGACCCTCTGCCAGTAAGGACTCCATCAGCTACTGGCTGCACCAGGCCCACCTCCACCCAAAGGAATCTAAATCTTCAGTCTTGGGGAACCTGAGCTTATAGTTGCTGATTTTATTTACGGCTCATATCCCTTCATTGTTCACCAGAGGCTCGTGTGTAGTGTGTGTGTGTGTGTGTATGTGTGTGTGTGTGTGTGTGTGTGTGTGTTAGGGGGAAGTATTTCATTTGAATTTATTTACCAATTCTGTTTTTCTGTTTTTAAAATTCATTTTCTGATTTTGTTTCATCATTGCCTCCTATTTGCTTTCCTTGGGTTGATTGTGTGCATGCATTTTTTATTTTGCTATTTTGGATTTCTTCAATATGAGTTTTGTTGTCAATAACACTTTTAAAAATATTTATTCTCGAAAGAAGACATATAAGTTACCAACAAACTTGAAAAATGCTCATCATCACTAAATCATCAGAGAATTGCAAATCAAAACGAAAATGAGATACTGTTCTCATACCAATCAGAATGGATTCTGTTAAAAAGTCAAAAAAATAACAATGAGAATGCTGGTGGGAATATAAGTTAGTCCAGTCACCATGGAAAGCAGCTTGGAGATTTCTCAAAGATCTAAGAATTGAACTACCATTTGACCCAGCAATCACATTACTGTGTATATACCTCAAAGAAAAATAATTTAACCCAAAGGGCACATTCACCTGTGTGTTCCTCACAGAATTATTCGCAATAACACAAACATAGACTCAACCCAGGTGCCCATCATTGGTGGACTAGATAAAGAAAATGTGGTCCATATACACCATGGAATATGACATAGCCATAAAATGAAACAAAATCATGTACTTTTCAGCAACATGGATGCAGCTGTAGGCTTTCATCCTAAGCAAACTAATGTAGGAATAGCAAAACAAATACCACGTTCTCCCTTATAAGTGCAAGCTAAACATTGGGTACTCATGGACATAAAGATGGGAACAATAGACACTGGATATATCTAAAGCAGGAGGGAGGGATGGAAGCAAAGGCTGAAAACTTACCTGTTGGTTATTATGCTCACTATCTGGGTGACAGGTTCAGTCACACTCCAAACCTCAGCATCATGCAGCATACTTTTGTAACAAACCTGCACATGTACTCCCTAATTCTAAAATAAATGTAAAAAGTAAATAGTTGATGCACAACAGCAACATGTTTATACTACCTACAATGTGATAGGCCTTCAATAGCACTTTGCATATATTAACTAATTTAATTCTTACAACAACTCTGTAATTCTTACAACAATGATGCAGGTGCCATTATCATTCCCATTTTCCAGATGAGTAAACTGGGGCACAAAATGTTAAGTAACTTCACAGAATCATGCAAACAGTACTTGGCAAAGGCTGGATTGAAACCCTGGGCACTTTGCCTCTAGAGTTCACCTATAGGTCACCACCTGTGTGCCAACCCATAATAGTAACAGCCAACATCACTTGTGGTCTTAGTATATGCCTGGCCCTTGTTAAATGCTTTGCATTTGTTGCCTAATTTAATCCTGAAGCAGAGAATATTATTATCCTTATTGACAAATGAGCCAGCTAAAGCTGGAAACTCAAATCCTGATTTCATCCAAGTGTGTATGCTCCAGAGGCTGTGTCCTGCAGACCCTCTTCATTGTCTTCATATGTTTTTGAATAGTAAAAAGCTTTAAAACTATGAATTTTCTTGAGTTATTTTAAAGGAGATTGTAAAATTCCAAAGGAAAAAAAAATGCAAGCTAAATTCTCCCAAACAACAATAACAATAAGATCTTGCCCTGCAGTTCTGGTAGGAGAATCAAAACAGGTACTACAGACTGTCTCCACCCTCACAGGGCTAGGGCTGCTGGCACTCCTTAATAGAGAGCTTAGGTTTCTCAGCTCTGGGCTCACAGCGGACTTGGAACTTTACCCACCAGGTTTGATTGAACTTTAATGACTCTTTTCTGTTTGGATGCTCACGCCCAAAGCCCTGCAGGTCATAGGCGTGTGTCTGTAAATCAAGCGATGAAGAAATAAGAATTGGTGAAGACCAGGCTCACCCCAGGAGAGCCTGCAGGGAACACATCAGCCACTGGGATTGCACAGCTCCCTGAGGTTGGGCACCTCATCATGAAGAGATAGATTGAAGAATTAACTCCTCTGCAGCTGGAGGATGTGAGGCTGAAGGCTCCTGCTGCTATGTCTTGTCATAAAACTAAGCATCACATTGGGAGGTAATACTTAGGGTTATGACAGCAGTAGACTTCTTTCCCCTCTCCGCACCACCATAATAAGAGGAAAAACAAAACTAAAAAGGAAAACAAAAAGCAAAGGAAAACAAGCATTTCTTGATCACCTACTGAAGTCATAAGCGATTTCATTTAATATCCAGCTGTGGCTGGGTCCAGTTAATCCAACCGCAGCAATTCTGCACTTGTGCTGGGACTTGGGCAGAGGAAGGGAACCTAAGACCCTGATGGACGGGGAGCCACGTGTTTGGAAGAGAAAGACGGAGCTAGAGAACAAGCAGGAGCCCCATGGCATCAGGGGACTCACTCTCCTGAGCATTGCCTTGGCTGTGGTCATCACACTGTGCCCTAAGTAAAATTTGCCTAATTTAAAAATAGAGATAAAAACTTTTTAAAGGAAACAAAAAATAACCTTTAATCCCACAGCTCAAAATAACTCCAGTTAGTATAGGGGAAAACTGAAAAGAAATACACAAGCATGCTTAGAAAATCCAAAGTGTAGAGAAAGGCAGAAAATGGAAAGTAACCTGCCCCTCTTTTTACTTTCAACATGAGTAACAGTTTTTGTTTTTTACAATAAAGGCATGCATGTATCAGTATTTATGATTTTCTCTGTATATGTAACACATACTTTATATATTTTTGCACAATATACTTATACATTATATTCACACAAAACATATATTTAACACAAGAGACTATAATATGCCACAATATATCATTCATCTCTGTGTGATATTTCATGCTAATATCACATAAGCATAAACCTTTTAGTTCATTCTTTTCACTGTTTGCCTATTTGCTCATCATATGGATATATCATAAATAAGTTTTAATGAGCCCCCTATTGATGGACACTTTGTTTCCACCTTTATTTGCCTCCTCCGCCTTCAAAATTACAAACGACACGGCAGTAAATAAACTTGTATATCTGTTCTGGAATTGTTTACAAAAATATGCATATATTCCAAAGATACATTCCTACAAGTGATCTTAGCAGTCAAAAGAAGCAAGCATGCATTTCCACTTCTGGTAGATATCACCAAATTGTTGTCAACAAAGGTTGTACTAACTTAAATGTCCATCAATAGTGCATGAAGCCAATTTTTCCACACAATTGCCAGCACCAGATACTATGAAACTCTTTAATTTTTGCCCAGCGGATAAATTATAAAAATTACTGCTGCTTTTATTAAAATATGAGAGAAATTGTTCATTGTTTTCCATTAGTTGCTTATTCACAAACTTTGCACATCTGTTTCTGTTGGATGTTATTTTATTTCTTACTGATTTTTATGAACTCTTTATTAATTATAAAATTTAGCCCATTGTGATGTGTGTAATACATCAGTTTTTTTTTTTGTCTTTTTACTTTCTGTATATAATTTTGCTTACAGATTTATTTATTTATTTATTCTAATAGATAGGGTCTCATTAGGTTACCCAGGTTGGAGTACAGTGACTATTCACTGTACTATGCCGTACTGTAGCCCTGAACTCCTGGGCTCAAGGGATCCTCCTGGGTTAATCTCCTGAGTAGCGGGGACTATAGGTGGGTGCCACCAAGCCTGGCCAGATTTTAAATTTTAAATCACCAGAAAATCACTTGATTATTTTATGATTTCTCAATTATGTATCTGCTTTATAAAAGCTTGTTCACTTTTTGTTTTCTGAAATTTACATAGCTATGTATTGTCACATGTTTAAATCTTCACTCCAACTGTAATATCCTTTGTTAAAAGGAATAATCTATCTTATTTGTTCTTGCAAAATCATTTAAAAATAATTTTTCTCTCACTGATTTTAAATGTTATTTTATCTTATATTTAATACCCACATGTATTTGTATCTATTTCTGTTCTCTTCATTCTATTTCACTGATACTTTTTACCCTTGAATTTATTTTCTCTAGGTATTTTATTTATCATAACTGCAAAATGCATTTTAATATCTGGTAAAAGTAGTCTCCTCTCATTTTTCTTCTTTTTTGGATGTTTGTTTTTTCAGATAAATTTTGCTACGTTTCAAAAAGATCTTGATAACAACAACAAAAATTCTCCTGGTATTTTAATTACATTTCCATTTTGAAATTAATTTTGAGACAATTGGTGCCTTTATAAAATTGAGGCTTTCTATCCCAAGAGGTTAGTGTGTCTTCTGTTGGTACATAACTATTTTTGAGACCCTTGTGTTTAAAGTTTTCTTTTTTTAGGACCTGCATGTATACTAAATAAATTAACATGTAGATTTTATATCTTTGGTTAACATTATTAATGGAATTTTAATTCTATTTATATTATTATATAAATATATTTCATATGACATAGTACTTATATCTATGATTTCTTTATTTTGTCTAATT